GGAAAGAGCTCAAAACAGGTAGAACTTGTTCAATAAATCTTTTGCCTTTTTCCTTTATGACTGCAGGACGCCGGTGAAAATCGTTGAAGGCTGAGAGACTAATGATAAAAGAATATATATAAACATTGTGTCTGTGAATCAATTTCAGTCATCAGAGATCTAAAGTTACTTCTTCTCTGTCCCAATAGAAACTCGAGCTTTTCATTCTCGTCAAGAGTACATCATGGCCATTGTATGATCTTATGTAAGTAACCTGAGGGGTAGTTACAGATATCCGAAGTACCCGATCCTCACAAGACCGATACAAGATAGGCCTGATCAAGAAATTCGAGGGGGCGTCGAGGTTGGAAAGCTTGGATATCCGAACCATGTCTACCCTAAATACATCGTGTCCTTGAAATTTTGAAACGTGCCGGAGACAGACAGTTTGGTGTTGTGTAACAATTAGGCGTGGGCACTTCGGTTCGGGAATTTAGTATCGATCCGATCCGTCCCGAAACTGAACCATACCGAACCGAACCGAATAACGTTTGGTTCTAATTTGGTACACTTTTTATGGAACCGAATGAACCATTCCCGAACCGAACCGTATGAATACCGAACCGAACCGTATGAAACCGAACCAAAATTCGAATATTCCATTAATATATGTGTAAATATTATAGTTCGGTACTTATTTGGTATTCATATAATGGTACCGTTTCGAACCGAACCGATACTAAAACCGAACCGAACCGAACCGTTTAACATTCGGTTCTAGTTTGGTACACTTTTTATAAAACCGAAAATACCATTCCCGAACCGAACCGCTTGAATACCGAATCAAAACCCGAAACGCCCACCCCTAGTAACAATGCAAAACTCAACAGTCAACATCTTTTCGCAAATTGACACACGATTACTTATCTGTTCTTCTGATAAAAAAAATTCGTAATTCGATTTGGTTTTGGTCGGGTTCTAATCTAATAAGCAATTCATCGCACAAAACAAAAATGGGGCATGAAAAACCCTTTGCAAATAGGATCATATAGAACCCGAATGTCGAACCAGAATTGTTGTCGCACACACGCTTGTCTTAAAATGAGAAGAACAAAATCGCACTCATAGTCACTAACCAAGTACCAGAACAGACCGATCCATCAAGTGAGAGATGAGCAAACATCAACGAAGTCTCCTGGCTTCTCTCTCGGACTCGAGCAGAGTCAGGACGTCTCCCTCCCTGACGGGTCCTTTGACATTCCTCATAATGTAACGGTCGGAGTCGGTGAACTTCACTCTGACCTGAGTGACCTGACCTCGTGATCCGGTCCTTCCCATCACCTTCACCACCACCGCATGCTTAATCTGACTATCCATTCTAAACACCCGAAGACAAGAGATTACGAAACAATTCCACTGTCTTATGCGCATTGCAGTTCATGTCTAACCTAAACAAGAAAAACCTCGAAATCCACTGTAATATATGAAGAGAGATGTCAACGAAACCCTAAATCCGAAGATCTGTGAACTTCAAGAACTTAATATCAATCCGTCTGGGAACTGATTAACTTTTATCTCTGGATTTCCTGAACAAGAAAACCCTCGAAATCTTCGCAAAGCAATTACGACACCTACGTTATACAGAATCTAGTTATTCAAACATCTATCAAAGTCGACAAATTCTACATACAAAATTCAGAGAAAATACAGGGTAACAACCGACAAAACTATAGTGGACAATACAAAAGAGACCGGAAACGATGTCGAAAAAATCAAAACCCAAAGAAAACATTCCTAATCCCTTGCTACAAGAAGACAGAATAGAAGAGGACGAAAGAAGAAAAACCTGTTAACAAAGGCGAATGGCGGCTCTAAGGATCGGA